GTGTTTCACATAATGAAAGAATTGATTTTTGTGTCCATCATTTTGTAGCTCTCATGAGTATCATTGACAAAATAAGTCCACTTTACTTCTTAAACAGCACACCGACAGTATGTGTGCCACTCGTACTGTACTTTATATATAAAGTTATATTGTATATATGGCTGTAATATAGTGAAAGAGAATGCTATAATAGAGAGAGAGAGAGAGAGAGAGAGAGCCTCCGATATCTATGTGTTGAGTGAAGATTTTCCGCGAAACACAACAGCAAAAGAGTAAATCATTTTCTACTCTATCGACGAGATTTTGAGCGAAAACCTTAAGACTCATTAAATGTCTATTTTGTGTGTATTTTAGAGTATAAGACATATAAGGAGAAGAAGTGATGCACTTCTCATACCCTAACGTCTCTCTAAACATAGGATTGAGTAGTTTTTTGTGTAGTGATTGAATAGTGAGAGACCGACCGATCGTTGGGGGCATTGCATTGGCATTGCATTCATATAACAGTTTCGCTCGGATTTTTGTTAGTCGGCTCCATATTCAACAACACTGTAATATATTTCAATGATTTGCATTATAGCCTACAATTGGTGAGCAATTTATCGTTTGTAAAGCCCGCCTATGAGTGCATTGTTATTATGATATACGGCTTTAACCGGTGCTCTGACAGCGAGATATCAATAGTTTTATACGCCATGGGTTTAACTGATGGTGACTTTTGGCCAAATATTTTTCACTTAATATTTTTGGCTATATAAATGTTTAAACATTGTGAAAAATATAAATGTGAATTTAAATTATAAGAAAAGCAACTATCTTTCCTCTTATGTAATCGCTTTCTCTTTATATCTCTCTAAGTTTGTTTGTTATTAAAAATTGTAAGATTACACAATTTTAATATACTGTATACTTATAAATATATTCATAATTTAATTATTATAAAATCTTACTTTCATTGACTTACTTTGAAATAATATTATTGACGATATAAACAATTATTATTAAATTATAGGTTGGGTGCGAGATGGGCGGGAGAGGAGTGGGATGGGGCAGAATGAACTTATAAATTATTTAATTTTCATAGTAAATTGCAGATTAAAATATTAATAAATTCTTAATCCTTATTTGTTATAAACTTAAAAATGACCATGTTAAACGGTACCTATTTATTCTATTGCCCTGCCCTTTATAGTTATATAAGTCTTTCTACAAGTCATTGAATTATTGTTATTAATGTTAGTTATCATTCAAACCTAATTTTACAATTATCTTAAATATTACATAATATGTATTAATGTATAAATTATTTCATTATTTTAGAAAGAAAAATTTATTGTTTCAAATAAATAAATAAAATTATATTTTATACAATTAACATTTATTTTTATTTAAAAATAATTTTATAATGGTTATAAAATATTGTAAAATTTTAACTTAAATATTTTAAATAAACGATGATATACTGTATATGCAAATCTAAGATGCAAATTACAATAATAATAATATCTCGTAAAACGTTTACATAGTGTATAATAGGTTTCACTGGTTATAATCAAATGCTTGTTTAGTTAATTGAATAGTTTGTAAACAATTAGCAAATTAAAAGTGTTAAATAAAACAGTATAATAAAAGCGCGAATACAACTCAAAAAGATTGGCCACATTATTATTGGAATAGGTTTTCATTATTGTTGTCTCTTTAATGTGTTGAGATAGAGGGTTAGCTGCTAAATATAATGTTATGTTATTTATTAAATTATAAATAATCTATTATAAATTGCATATTGATTATTTGCTAATTGTAGATTACATCACTGTTTTAATTAATATATTGTCATTTACTATCTATTTGGCATTTTCTACTAAAGCTTAAAATTTAACCATAAATAAGACAACATTTCCAATTTAAGTAAAGTAAAGTAGTTAAGTAAAGTAAAGTAAAGATTTACTAAATCTAACCATGGTTAAGCTGATAAAAATGAGAATTCACTAAGATTTAACATGTTAATATAAATTTATCTATCATAAAGAATACTATGAAAACATCGATTCAATAAGTATTAGTACACAAAATATATAACAATGAATGAATACATACCCGAGACGGTCATATATTTCTCATCCCATGGTTTGTGACTGATTTCCGTTAAAGTGATCTCACATTTGTAGAGACCGCTGGCCTTTGCGCTCACTTTATCGAGAGATACCGTTTCGCCCATCGATTTATATAACTATTAGAAATATGTTTTTAAATAAATGAATAATAAAGAATTGTTGTCGATTTAGTCAAATGTCAGAATGTACTGCATCTGAATTGTGTATTATTTTATAATTAAATAAATTAATTTAAAAATACAATTAATTTCAATATTATGGATTGAATGCTAACTCACGTTAACGTTAATGTTTTGCAATGGAAACACTTGTTTAACTTGTTTTGCTCGCGGAGTGTATCGGAAGAACTCCCGTTCCTCTGAATAGACATCTTTTCTATGAAACCATTTCAACGAATACAGGGATGTGTTGTACAACTCGTGCAAACACGACAACTGAACATCACTGCCTTCGGAAACAGATTTCGGGACATTCATTGTCACTATCGGGTGTCCGGCCGTTGCTATTCAACGCAAATATATTTTAGATTTTATATAAAATTTAATTTAATGTTATGAATAAATAGACAAACATTTGTAAGTAAATGTTAGAATTGCTGTCAATAATAATAATAATTTCATATTCGCTCCCATTTTTGATTGCAATAAAAAGATTGTATGGAAAAAAGACAAATGTGATACTGTAAAAAATACTGTAAATTATTGAAAATTATTAGCCTTTTAAATGTTGGGCTCAGTAAGAAAATTAAGTAAAATGTCATAATTTATATAAATATAAAATTGTCAACAATTATATTCTAAATGATTTATTTTTATTATGAATAATATCAATAATAATTGTATGAAACTATCCAATCAATCTCGTTATTAGATTAAATTGATGTGAATTAAGTGTACGTAATGTTACTACTGACATTGAGACTCTCTCTCTCTCTCTCTCTCTATTATAGCTTTCTCTTTCACTATATTACAGCCATATATACAATATACTATATATAAAGTACAGTACGAGTGGCACACATACTGTCGGTGTGCTGTTTAAGAAGTAAAGTGGACTTATTTTGTCAATGATACTCATGAGAGCTACAAAATGATGGACACAAAAATCAATTCTTTCATTATGTGAAACACTAGGAGTTTGTGTTTCATAAGAGAAATAGAGAGCAACGGTATTAGCGAAGTGGAGACCACAGTCAAGGCCTGCACTTCAAACTCTTTGCCCATAGTTTTTAACAAAACTAATTCCCCGTGTCTTACGTGTAATAATGACGATATACTGTACGCTAGAAATACAGGACTGGGAGGTGTGGGATATGTCGTGAAATGCTTTCTTAACTCATCATTACTTTTTTTTTGTAAAACTTATATTAAACTCGGTGTTAGTTGTCTCTCTCTCGGCTCACAACGTGGTTATCTGTTTGCAACAATCCTTGGCTACCGTTTCCCTCATATTATGGGAAAAGTAGTCTGAAATGAAAGGATGTGCGTGTGATTAGGCTTTCCATTGCTTCTCTCTGTCTCTTCACTAATATGTCTATACTTTTCTTACTCTTCTCACACAATATATACCCTAATTCTAAGGCATAAACACTTGAAAGCGAACTTCGGGTTCACTTTAATAACTGGTTATTTCACTGTATTTATGTTGCGCTCAAGAATTTCAATCCCTAATCCGTGTATTGTAGGAACAGGTTGTCTCATTTCTGACTCTCTCTCTCTCTCTCTCTCTCTCTCTCTCCGTCTTTCTGTTGCTTTCATTATAAACTTTGTTTTGCGAGAAAAAAATTACATTAAAGCGAGAATATTTACTCTTTTGCTGTTGTGTTTCGCGGAAAATCTTCACTCAACACATAGATATCGGACTCTCTCTCTCTCTCTCTCTCTCTCTCTCTCGATGTTTACAAACACGTGAACTTTATTATTAAATTTTATACAAAAATATAAGTTTTCTTCAAAACAAGAGTAGAGGGAATAATAAAAAATTTTATTTTTGATTCACGTTTTATGATAAACACCAAAAACTGGCCCAAAAAAGTGTTGTTTATTTGGCATTTCGGAAGTGTTGAAAAGCAATAAATTTGATCGCCATTCGTGTGTTTAAAACTAATTTCTAAGATTTTGCTCTCATCTACTGTTAGAGTGAACAACAGTTTACTACTACTTCGTTAACATCAAATAATTTCTTGTTTGATATTGTTTTTTCACTCACGAGTTTGTAGACGAGAAGACAGGAATCTCGACACAGACTGGAGAGAGAGAGAGAGAGAGAGAGAGAGAGAGACTCCGATATCTATGTGTTGAGTGAAGATTTTCCGCGAAACACAACAGCAAAAGAGTAAATCATTTTCTACTCTATCGACGAGATTCTGAGCGAAAACCTTAAGACTCATTAAATGTCTATTTTGTGTGTATTTTAGAGTATAAGACATATAAGGGAGAGACGAAGAAGAAGTGATGCACTTCTCATACCCTAACGTCTCTCTAAACATAGGATTGAGTAGTTTTTTGTGTAGTGATTGAATAGTGAGAGACCGACCGATCGTTGGGGGCATTGCATTGGCATTGCATTCAATGCGAGTCAAGTGTTTTTAGGCTTTGATTGCGAGGCATTCACTGAAGAAGATTGAGAGAGAAATCTCTCCATTATATCAAATCATACAAAATGTCTTTTCGATGAGATATTATGTTATTTTAGTTATGAAAAGACTTTTATTGTGATTAAGAAGTGTATTATTCGCGAGAGAGGAGTGACGAGTCGTTTGTTTTTACTTTTGTTTAAGTGATTGCAATGTGAATGAGTGATAGAGAGAGAGAGAGAGAGAGAGAGAGAGAACATATAGAGTACTCATCATCAGTGCTCTAAATAACACTTTATATCTAACATTTTGAGTCTCCGTTTATTATATAAATATAATACACGAGTCTTTAGTCGACATTCTATTGGCCTTTAAGTAATATAACGACAAAATTATGGAAAGAAATTTCTTATATCATAACAGAAATTATTTCCCGTTACTGTATATTAAGTCGAGAGAGAGAGAGAGAGAGAGAGAGAGAGAGAGAGAGAGAGAGACGACAGAAATATAATAAATATAACAAAATAAGAGGAAAGCAGTCAAAGAAATAGCGAAAGAAATGGTATGAAATTCTTGTCGATTCTCTCTCTTCTTCATCAGACAAATAATAACTAATGGATTGTTGAGAAGGGATTGGAATTACAAATAAATTCTTTGTGTTGTCTTATATGTTATGTTTATATTTTATTTCTTTTTATGGTATTTCTCTCTATATATTCCCTCTTCCATAGCATTCTTCGACTCATTTCTAATAATTTAATACAAATTTCTTATTTTCATTTCCAGTGTTTTGTTTTTTCAAAAGTTTATTTTGAAAATAAATTGCATTTTGAGTGAAACCCTAAAGCATTATAACAAACATACAGATGAAGGAGAAGAAGAAGAATAAGACCTTAAGACTAAATGGTTGTCATAGCGATGAGCAGGTGATCATCAAAATAAGAAACGGCAATATTTAGCATAACTGAGCAAATGGTGCGAATCAATGGGATCTTTTGATTATCCAATTTGCACATCAAAAGCAACTAATTTTCTCAAAATCTCTCTCTCCCTCTCTCTCTCTCCGTCTTTCTGTTGCTTTCATTATAAACTTTGTTTTGCGAGAAAAAAATTACATTAAAGCGAGAAATTTGTAATTTTAACTAATTTTTCACTGATGTTGTTGTGCGGGGGGTTTCGGCTCTCATGGAGTGTGGGTTGTAGTGAACGTACAGTACATTTGCCGCACCGCTCCAGACCTCCCGTGCTATTGACTTAACAGCGCAAAAAAGTCAAACAAATACAGATAAGAGTTATAATGATGCCGTTGGGAATGGGATTTATGATTGTATTACTCGAGTAAAAAATACTATACTTTAATAAAATACAATATATCTCTCCATATGTTGTAAAAAATGTTATAATACAAGACAATAAGAGCCACTTTTCTATACATTTTTGTTATTTTTCTGTGTGTTTTCCCATTTCACTCCCTTTTGAATATATAATAATTCAGTTTAGATATAATGTCTTCTCTGTCTCTCAATAATAGATGCAAAATAAAGTCATTTTTGTGTTATATATATTCAGTCACTTATTTATGTTTATTATTTATATTTCATGTAATGTTTTTGAATGGTTTTTGTGTAAAAATCTTTTTTATTTTGTTCACAGAATAGGAAATATTCTTCTTTTTTAATACATAAATTTTTTTCTGCGCTATTATTTTGAAGTTTAAGTTTTGAGGCAAATATTTTATGGACTGCTTTTTTATGTAAACTTTGTTTTTCTTCTTCTGTTCAATATATTGAGAGTGATATACATTTTTAAGTTATAATATTTCGCTATAAAATAGTGGAAATTTGATACATTATTGCCTGAAAGAGAGAGAGAGAGAGAGAGAGAGAGAGAGAGAGATCCTTTGAACTCAAACTGGTTTCCCATCACTAATATATAGTGAATAACAGAAAAATCTGATCCAAACATAACAATACATTTATTAACTGATATTTTCTCGTATTTTCCTTTGAGAAGAGAGGGTCTAATTCAGGACCCAGTCGTCAGTCGTTTTATTTATAATTTTTTCGCTAATTTTTGTGTGATTTTTATTAACAAATAGTGAAACAAATGAATAACGAGTTACAGAGAGAGAGAGAGAGAGAGAGAGAGAGAGAGAGAGGTTTGAATTTCTGGTCAACAGATTTTTTAGGCTATTCTTTGGCACAACACGAGTAATGGAAAGCAAAAAATCTATTGAATATTCTTTATGTGAAAAGATTTTATACAAATAGAAAGAGGGAGTGAGGAGTGAGAGGACCGGGAGTTATGTAGACATTAGACAGTATTTTCCTAATGGAAACTCTGTGTTAAGTCCAGAAGAAAATGTTTGCCTAAAAATGTGTAGTTTATTGTAATATACAGTACAGTACTGGAGATGTGGTCCTCAAACCAAATCATAAATGTGTGTAAAATCAATGAATTATTCAACAGAAAAAGCATTATTAGAAACATATGATAATAAAATTGGTTAAAATAGTGATAATATTGTTTAAAAAACTAGAGATCGGAATCTTATGGACACTAATTCAGTATAACTTGGCTTTTAGTTAAATACAATTATATTTATTGAAATCAATACTTTTAAAATAGTTGGCAATCAGTTTTGAATAGACTTTTTAATATCCTTTAATAAAAGTAATCAATGACTTGTATACCAATTGATAGGAAAAACATTCCGTAAACATTTAATTAAAGTAAAAACAATTTGACATTGGTTATGCAATTTCACAGGAATATTAATATTGGATTACAATTTAACAATTGATTTCTTAAAACTTTTAATATAACATAAATTTGTTTATAACTAAATTTCCGCAATAACTAAACTCTACAATATTTATAAACTTCAATACAATTGTTGCGAACAAAAAACTTATTTATGAGAAATCTTTATGATTTTGTTTATCATTTTTGGGGCGTCTTTTGAAGCGATAAAATTAAATCAGTATTTTTTGTTGTTTGGAAAAAATACCAAAATATAAATTAAAAATTATGATCGTTTTCTTAGTTATATAATATTCTGTATATATTATAAAAATAACTGTTTTTGCAGTTAATTTTGTTGGCAAACGTCGCCTCAAAAGAGTCAATAAAAATTCATTTATAATAATAATTATAATAAAGTATTAATAGTGTAATAATGAGATCCACTTTTAAGTAAACGCTATATTTAATAGTCTTTCCCCTCAATAAGGAAGAAGAAGATTAATATTGTTTATCATTACTTGAAATCAGATGAGAGAGAAAAATAAGATGAAAATATGAGTTTTGTTTTTTCACTTATTCTTATGGAAGAAATAATTTTCTCGTTTTATTTATTAATTCTTTATAATCCTTATATAATAGTCGTGTAATTTATAAATAAAAATAAATACAACAAAAATAAAAGCAACAAACTTTATGAAAATATTTTCTCGGGTCGACCGAAACATAACACAGGAGTCTATAAATTATATTTTGTAAATTATAAGCAATAATAAACTCAAACATTTGTTAGAAGTTTATCACAAAAGTTGAGCTGACATTGTCAGTGATTTTCACTATTTGTTTTGATGTCCACAACATTTATTTCCTCTTTTGTAAATACAATACATTTGGTATAAGTGTTTGTCTCTCTGCCCCAGTGTTTGAGCATTTTTTGGTGACCATTAGTTTTTATATACGATTTTTATAATAAATGTTGTTTTCGGTCGTGAAGTATAACTACTGACCGAACAAAACGCCTG